GATATAAATACATAAACTTAAATTTAATACTAACTACTAGATATTTTACTTATAAAAAAATTTCTGAACATGGAAAACTAATCTATATGTTCTATTGGTACTATAATGTATTATATTGTATTTTTTAATCATATTAAATGGGCTTAATTTGAAATAATAGTGAAACATGTTTCTGTTTAAAAAAACTATTTCACAAATAAAAAAATGTTTAGGATACATGGGCAAACTTAGGATTATGATACTTAGAATATCAACGACAAAAAATGTCATTTTCAAATTTGGCATATTCTTTTAAATAGGCAAATTTAGAAATTGTACGATGCGAAAAATTGTATGATCTGTAAAACGTTTTCGAAAATTAACTACACGGTTCGACAGCAAAAAATCACTGATAACGATAATAAAAAGAAATTTTAAATTTTTTTGCATTTTTAGAGGGTGGTGATGAATTCATATAAAGTTAGCACCGAATTTTGCCCCCTATTTATCTTCGGAACAAGAAAAGCAAAAAATGTTTGATCACACCAATCGATAGCAAAAATAGTTGATAAATCAGGTCATATCAGTGTTGCCTATTTTTACCATCGCGGTGTTAAGTTTATGGACGCTATAATTACTATCTTTGAAGTCGATGGAGAGAACTCTACTGGTTGTGAAAGTGAAAAGAAATTGGATATATAAATGGAAAGTAATTTCTACACTTCTACACAACGCCATCAATAGAAGAACAAAATGTCTAAAAAGACCATAGCAAGGATAAATGTAGATGCTAAAGGGTTTACTCTAGAGCAAAGAAAATACAAGTGGCCTAAAGAGAAGTTTTAGAGACAACTGTAAAAAAGAAGATGAACAAGAAAATACAATATGAAGTTCTCTCGTCATAGACCTGCCTTGAGAAGATTGAAACGTCAATATAACATTATCTTTTCAATTGTTAAACTAAGAAGATCTCACTGGAGTTCTTCTTAGGAATCGATCTCAAATATTGTCAATTTAGCTTATAGGAATCCTTATGAATTTCTGATTGCTGAATAAAACAGAGTTAAAAAAAACTGCCTTAGGACGAGCAACTGTCTAATAACAAATCGATGTCCCCATTTATATTGATTATACTAGCAGATCTTCTCATGAATAGTTATCACTTCAACAAACAAAATTCATTGTATCATTTCATTACTAGCTCTAGGTCCATTAATTTAACCTCGTACCGAATACATGGTTATTGTAAAGCGTCTAATCGCGTATGTGACGGATCCTCACGATTATTTACTGGTCAGAATTTCAGTTCGCTCGTGCGAATAAATCGAACGATTGCGATACAGGTCTTTGCGTATCGGTTATCTAATATTCTCTATTCCTGAGCTTATACACGGATGCTTGAATTGATCGAATGTTGTTACATAATATTGAAACATGTTGATTTACGGTAGTCTATAAATATTTGAAAATACTGATCAATTGGCGATCCCATCTAATACGTTGTAATAGATAGGTATGGAATACCCATGATACATTTACGATGCGATTTTTAATAAAAAATGTGGGTTTTGGGATTCGAAATCTGGATAGATAAATTAATATTGCAAGTAGGAATATTGTTAATTATTATTTTTCATAATTATACATTGTTAGTTTTTATAACAAGAAAAATACAAGCAAGATATTTGAAATAGTTAACGGATGCCTTTAAATTTCCACTAAGTTATGCTAATCCGAGATAATTGATATTAACAAATACTATTTAAAGGTACAACAAACACAGTTTACTGTTTTTTTAAATAAATCTTTTTTTAAATCAGAATTATTGATTTTTAGCAGATTTTTTATAATTAGATTATGTTACGATATATATTTATCAATTTTTTCGCCTAAAGCCTTAGATTCAGTTATATTTTCTTTATAATTAACTTAGTAAAAATTATTACTAGTTTCAGGCAGTCACAAAGTTTGTTTCCATATTTTTTGCCAATTTTTGTACGATTAAAATTATCGAATAAAATTTATCGATAAAATCGAAATTATGGATGTATAAATCCATTTAAACTTGCCTTTGAAATCTTGCATTCCAAAATTTTGTCATTCACAACGTATTGTCTCATATAAGCGTACTCGTTGTATATATCATTCCCTGCTAAGGCAGAGAGGACCTTAAAGGACCGCGCAAAAAAGGTGCACCTTACAGGTCAAAGGTTATTTAAAAAACAAGTAAAATTAAGAACTTCAACTATGTTGATGATTATTTCTGCCAAAATACAAGATCAAGGTTATATACAGTGAAATTTTTGACGAAGTACAAGGTTATCTCTGTGAATTTAACCATCAAATATATATTTTGCATTGATTGAATATAGCTACATAATTCAACCAATGCAAAATATAAATTTCGTAAAATACTTTTAAAATTTAAGATTTTGGTTATCTCTGTGAATATAACCATCAAATATATATTTTGCATTGATTGAATATAGCTACATAATTTAACCAATGCAAAATATAAATTTCGTAAAATACTTTTAAAATTGAAAGTAAGACATTGCCCCGCCTATTGAGTAAAAAGAAATAGGTGACATTTTTTTGAAAAACAGCAATAAAACATGTTTCCAGAATGATGAATTAGCTGAAAGTTTTACTGGACACTGTCAAATAATTACTTGTTTCACATGTATATTATTTTTTGTGATATAATGGGTTTGGTATTCACAATGTAATTGCTCAAAATCAAATTGGACCTTTGTGCTTTGTGCATTTTATTTCCAAGTAGTTGCACAGATTAAATTAAATTTAATTATATACTCTTCTAAAATCCCGGACGATTCGGGACCAAAGATTGAATTTCGGGACAAATATTGCGTTTAAAAAAACTCGGGACACAAAGTAGGACTCGAGTCTGTTCCGGCCAAATCGAGACGTATGATCATCTTAATAAAATCCATAAGAAATGTTGCATAGTACATGTAGATTTATATCAAAACTTATATATAAAACACAAACTAATATACTTGTCGTTAATTATACGAAGTTAGTCATAAATTGCTACTCAATTGTTCACTTTTTTGAATAAGATGCTAACACGATCTTTACTTTCGAAGTCAAATCCTTCTAAATTATATTAGGTTGTCAAATATCTCCCTTCCGCTTTTTTGCTCTTGGTTTATAATACAAAAAGGCGGAAGGGAGATATTTGACAACCTTATATAAGAGTACAATATTTTTGACAATGGACTAGCAATCAGATGTTTTATCCACGCGATTTTTGGTGAAACTAAAAAATACAGTAAAAAGTTTAAGTGTGCAAAATGATCAACTAGAGATGGGTAACTCCGATACAACTCCTCCCTCGGAGTGAATCCGAGTGATGTTGTCTCACAGGATATGTCATATCCGACTGGTACTAAATCTCTTAAGATGTGAGGATATTTGCTTGAGATTTTTTACTAATACAAAGATTTGGGTCGAAAGAAGTGATCTTTTTCTCGTCTCACAGCCAGTTTTAAAACTTTCCAGGTATAAAATGTCTCCAAATAATGCTATTTTGTATTCTATATTCTGTATACGATAATGTTTGTCCGTAAATGAGTTCTTTCAATTGTATACAACCAGCTAAAAATATTTAGTATTATATTATAACTTTAACACAATTATGATTTTATAATTGTGTAAAGTAACAGTATGCTAATCAAACTACCTTATGTATAATTAATTCTCGAAAAGAAAATATAAGAATGCGAGGTATTATTATTTTGTGAAAAATATTATACACAAAGATTTGTTCTTATTTCATATATAGGGTTCACTGCATTATTTTCATATAAAAATAAACATATTCAAAGAACTCTATATTTTCTCTTCAAATATAATTACAAAATTGATTTTGATTACCATGTTTTTTGTCAATTTGAGATTTTTATGCATATTGAAATGCATAAAATAGTAATTATTATAATAAAATGAACAAAAACGTTTGAACTATTTGTAAACTATTTCCAAAGTCTTAATAAATCCTCAGATATGTTAACAACACACTAGAGAACACATTTGTGTCAAGTATTATATTTCAAAGTTGTCGGAGTTGTGAAGTCGGAGTCAATTCCTAACCGATCCGGCTTCGGATATGAAAAGCCTATCTTTATGATCAACCATTACTTCGACCAACAATTTGATAAATTTGTTTTTCGAATTCTTCCTTCATATAAAAATTTATTCTCCAGTTGATATGAATAAACATCTCTCCATGCATTCGTGTAGCGCAGATGTATATATTTTCCTTGCACGCGTGCAATACAAAGCATAATAATAATAATATCGTCTGTAAGGTTTTACGATCAGCATGCAGTTGTGACATGTTCGGTCGTAAAATTTATTTAAATGTTTGCAATAAATTGTATTCACAATATACCCTTCATACCAATAGTAGTAAATCTCGAGATAATTGGTAAACATCAAACGAACTTCCATTGCAATATGCAATGTTACAATATAGTCGACTTGTAATCAAATCGTATGTTATTTCTTTAACGAGAACAGTTTTGATTAATCGTAATTGTTTGTTTAATATGATCTGTATCAGTTTATAAATATTTTTTGCGGTGATTCAGTAACCCAGAGCCACAGGTACTTTAACCAGGGCGCTCATTCTTTAAGAATTGTGACAGTTACATAGATAATCTATCATGTATTTGATATATTAATCTTGGGTATTAATGATATTCAAACAATGTAACGTGAGTTCCAATATTATGATTACCACTTTAGCTTTTCTTATTATGAAGTCAACACTGAGATGTCCCGAGAGTAAATGATTTGATTGATCACATGCGACTTAACTTAAGAATATAAATTACAAATCTGACAAGATTCTGATTGACAACTTTAAAATTAATTGATAGTATTATTATATTCTTCCGCTTAATAATCTTGAATATCGCAAAATTTATCAAATTTTAAAGAAATGAGACTTTAAATTTTCTTTCCTTTAAAAGAGCGTAAAGACAAGTATTTTCTTCATGTACCTTCGTGTGTATTTCTAACTATATGAGATCCTAGGGTCACAGGAAATTCAAGAAACTTTAACACTTGTTTTTCTCACAGATATCTTAGTTCTTAATTAGTACTTAGTTTTCATAGTAAGTTTAATGTTATTTTGTTAAGGCTATTTTTGTTTAATTTAATGGAAATGATAAAGTCAATGATATTATTCACGGAAGTCATTCCAATTGGATTTGGAATTACTATTACGCAGCATGAAAATATCACCATCACTAACATAAGAGCCTTACAAATCAATAATGATATCTTCATAAAAATGTTATTCTAGAACTGTAATTTCTATTTATCTAAAAGGTTCTATGTTATTATAGGCAATATTATTCTATACTCCGCGATGGCTGTGGAAGTCCTGGGAAGGCGGCAAGATAAACGCATTGATGATGGATTTGGATGTGGGTATTTGTAGCGAAATTGAGAAGAAACAGAAGAAAAAGCTTTTACTAGACTATTTATGGGACAATCTGAGGTACCATAACTGGTGGGCATATCGTTATTACATTTGCGAACTACTATCTCTGATAAACGTAGTAGGTAAGTAACTATGTTGGATTATTTTATAATTTTATTTTAACACACACAAACTTTATAATATACTCATACACGTCCACACTTTGCCGTGATTTTATTTTAAATTAAAAAGTTGAACAAAGATATGTATTTGTTACATTTAGTTTAACGTTACTACTATCTGTTCATCAATTTACCTAGTCAACAATTTGTCTACGTATTTATCTATCAACTTGATAATCAATCTACCATTTTACCGGTTTATCAATTTACTTGTCAATCTATTTACCATTTACCTATCGACCTGTTTATCAATACACCATTTTACCTGTCAACCATTCTAGATGTCTACCAATTAACCTGTTCAATAATTTACCTGTTGAACAATTTACCTGTTTAGCAATTTGTCTACTAATTTACTTATTAACCTGTCTATCAATCTACCAATTTTCCGGCCTACAAATTTACCTGTCATCCCGTTCTACATGTCTACTAATCAACCTGTCAACTTGTTTATTTGTCTACTTATTCGTCTATCTACCAGTTCTCCTCTCTACCATTTTACATATCAACCAATTTACCTGTCCACCAGTTTACCTATATAAAATCTCTAATTTACCTTATTTGTTTTCGCATTATAAAAAATAAAGCTCAAATTGATTGTACGTTTTAGTTAAAAAACGTTTGTATATGAAGAAGAAAAGGGTAGTTTTAGGGTTTTCCCGGCAATTATTCAATTTAAAAAAAAACATTTTAAAAAAAGAATTGGCCAAATTGGTTCAGGCATTGTTGAGTTATACGCTTACCAACACATTTTGCGATTCATTTTTATATTATAGATCAATTGGCAGTTTTAGAACTTTCATTCATTAACTGGTGAATAGACTAATTTTGATTTTCTTTCCAGGTCAGATGTTTTTGATGAACCGTTTTTTCGACGGTGAATTCATGTCATTTGGACTCGATGTCATAAAGCACCTCGAGTCTGATCAAGAAGAGCGAATGGATCCAATGATCTATATTTTTCCCCGAATGACAAAATGCACGTTCTTCAAATTTGGTGTGAGCGGAGAAGTTGAAAAACACGACGCCATCTGCATTCTTCCTCTCAACGTAGTCAACGAAAAAATTTACGTTTTCTTATGGTTTTGGTTCATAATTCTGTCAATCTTAACGTTTCTCACATTAATCTATCGAGTAGTGATAATATTTTCTCCAAGAATGAGAGTTTATTTGCTTCGTATGAGGTTTAGACTGATCAAACGTGATGCCGTAGAAGTCATCGTAAGGAGGTCGAAAATGGGAGACTGGTTTCTCCTGTACATGTTAGGAGAGAATGTTGATTCGGTGATATTTCGAGATGTTATGCAAGAGTTGGCGATCAGATTAGGCCAAGATCAACACCACCACGTGCCTGGTGTCAAAGGAGAGATCCAGGAAGCGTGACCAGAGCCAATCCCGCGTCCAGCTTGGAGGGACGCGGAGGCTGGGAAGACTAATTTCAAAAATGTTTGAGAAACGTATTATTAGAAAGTAAACTCTATTATTGTACAACCGTAGATCGCTCTTTACGGAAAAAAGATTTTGTACAGTCAAAAATGTATAAAATAGGAAAGCATCATGCATCTAATACATTGATAGAGTTTGCACTAAACATATATTGCTATATATGTAAAATGTGCCAAAATTGGGAGTGTTTGGATACAAAGTGCCATAGCAAAATTATGAAAATGTATAATGTATTCATAGGTTCATTTATACATGAACCAATTTTATATGAAATATCATTTTCATAAAATTATGAATTATGATAAATCAAATTTAACGATGACGGATTATAAGGTGACGAACGAATCATACAATATTGACAAAATTGAGTACACATCAACGCCTTTTTTTATATTTCTAGTTGATTATAGTTAATTATGAGCGCGTAATGAATATTTAAGTCCAAAAAATTAGCAAAAAGTGCATTATATATTGTGCCTAATAACGAAGGCGTATAAGCAAATCAATAATTAGAAAAGTTAACAAAATACTGCCAAATTTCAAATATTGTAAATTATAAAAATATTTTGATGACAAAATAATGAGAAGTATTTATAAGTTTATATAATATTAAATATGGTCTCAAATTTATATTAGAATTTAGATAATTAGTTAATATGTTAATGTTTTATATAAGAATTATGGTAATAATTGTCGATGAATGCTAATTTGTGTTATTATTATGTTACATTAATAAAAAATTGAAGACAATCCCGTTGTATACAGCAATGAATATAGATTTGATGAGGTTTTCAATACAAAAATTGTTCTTATTCAAGATTTACTTCTTTTATCTTTCATTAATATAACAATTTATAAGTCGAAAAATCCCTAAGGTTAGTAATGTATTATCACCAAATTTCTAAGTAACAATTTTTTTTAAACAAATAAACAGTTTTAGCTAAATTAGTAATCTAATACCTAACATTTCATAATACAATTAGTGTTTGATATATTTTTAAATTAAAAATCTAGAACAATTTTACTTTATAGATTAAAAATCAAACCACAAGAAATAATTATTTATAGGAAATCTGAAATGACAAAAGAATTTTAATACAACTTTTATAATTGGTTTAATCAATTTAAATCTAACATTTATATTGCCAATTAAATAATATAAGCAAATTAGCATTCACTATATGAAATAGTATTAATTAGTAAATGATTAAGATATAATTTTTGATAAAAAGTTAAATTTAAAGACAATATTAGAATTAAGTTTATTCCTTAAGGAGTAGAAACGGAATATTGGAAATAAATTTAGCATATTAAAATATATCGAAATGTATGTTGAGTGTGTATCTAGTTATACTTATAAAGAATCTATGTCGATAACCAAAGAAATAAATAATTTAAAATAAGTTTTAGTTGATTTATTAAATAAACTTTTATTTTCTGATAAAAATATGCCATGATCTAAAATACCATATCTTTTTTGGTTTATCTTTAGCATATAACATGCACACTATAAAATGTGAATCTATTGCAATATTACCATGGGCGTTAAATAAATAAATAAATAAATAATGAAAGATGATCATATAATCCATTAATGAATGGAAAATAAGTTCATGTCATTGGAAATATGTGCAGGAAATTCTGGAAAATTGTTCAACCTAATCTTAATAATATTGAATTTGTTCCTAATTATTTTTTATTGCGAGTAACTTGCGCCAACAGATTATGAATTTTAATTAAATACAGATTGATTATATAATTTGATGTGAAACAATATAATTATTATTTTCTATGACATTTTAGTCAAAGCTAACGTAATAAAGACAAACAAATCTGTCAAATGTGATAATTGAAAAATACAATTCATAAACCCCAGGCTATGAGAAATTGTATATCAAAAGTTCAATTATAATTTCAATTAACGTGTATATGTTTTCCTGTTTTTGAGGCAAGTATTTGTTATATACAGAAATTATAAAACAAGGAAAATAAATGTTTTATCATTCTGCATATGACAAAAACTCCTTATGGCAAATTGAACTAACTTTATAAAAAAATAATTATTCAATTAAATTTATAATATGTATATATATATATATATATATATATACATAAATGCATATATATATGCTTTATAATTTTCAGGCATGACAACAAAACTTAATATATATTTGATAGAAAAAAATCGTTTTTATTGAAGCTTAATTTAAATACAGATGTTTTCATATTTTGTTGAGTTAAATGCATGTCCCATAGATCCTGAAGAATAAAAAATAATAACTAGTTAATAAACTGCACAACAAAAAAACTGCCAAAAATGTATCAATAATTAGATAAATAAAATACTAATTAACCTAAAGATAAATCCTTTCTAATAAGTTTTGAGCATGTACTGTAAGTCCTTTTTTGTAATACATTAATATTATTAATGTTGATATGAACTGCCAGTATTTTTTTTAGGAAGCAGATAATTATCATTTCATAACATTTCATGTTTTTTTTTAAGTAATCTCAACATCTTAATTGACTTTTAGTAGTTTTATGTCACATCCATCTAAATCTATTTTGGTTTCGGTGTTCTCAGGTTCTATTTCGACAATTGTTCATCAAGAAAAGATCATTTGTATTGGCTCAGACATTTTAAGTATTTCTGACAATTTCCCCTCATTCTCCTAGGAGTGCTCATTAATCGTTGAGCCATCAAATGAATTACAAAGAAGAAATGTTTTGAAAACGTTTAGATGACTTTAATTGTGCTGGTAAATTTATTTCTATTGTATTTTGAAACAGATGTTTGAAAGACGTGTAATCATTAGATTTTTAAGGGAATTTTGAGTTATGCACAACTTTGAGACAACCCAAGTTTTTTTGAGTATTTTATTACTATTTCTAACTTTTTGTCCGATAATATGGTGATACACGAAATATTAAAGTAAGCATGCACGCTAATATAAATAATTTCATAAAACGAATAAAGATTTCGTTTTTTCATATCGTTGTCAAATCTAACACTACATTTTTCCCAAACAACTTTTATACAAAAAACAATATGTCTAGTATGCTTCACTGTTTATCATTTTTTAAGTTTTAAAAATTATTTAGAATGTATGCTACAATTATTTTACTGGATCTCTGAAAACATTTACATTTTATGTAGTAATTTATTTTTTTTATTTTTTGAAGAATTTCAATTGTCAGATTTCAAAATTGTATAAAAATATAAATATTTCACAGATTCTTGATTATTTAAAACAAAGTTATTTAACAAAATATTTAAGTATTTTTTATGAAAATATCCAATGAGCTGATTTTGGAAAAAAATAAAGTCGTGGACAATTGAAATTAAAAAAAAAAACAATATAATTAATTTAGGAATAAAATTAAATAATATAATACAATAATCAATACTGTTTGATATTTATATGCGCCTCTTCTTAGGCAAACTTTACACAAGAAGGCATCATTAGTTGCGGCTGAAAATGTTTTATGTCTCTATATTTAAACTATAAGATCTTCTGTTTAGTTATTATCCTATTATTATAATATATTATATATTACAATTAAAAAACTAAAATAATTAAAATTTGCTAAAATAAATAGATTGAACTTTTTATATATATTATATATTTTGTATATTAGAAAAAGTGCCAAAATATTATTTGATATCCAAAAAAATATATTTAATTTTTTATAATTAATTAAATTAAATTTAAAATCAATTCAGAAAAGTAGCAGTCATTTTTTCACTTTTGTAATTTACCTATTAAACTATTTTAATTGATTATAACGATTATCATAAATTTTGATGTGTCTTTTTCTCACATTACTATAACATAAATTGATTGCCTTATATTTAATTTTAATTTTAATTAGTAAAGTTAATAATAATAACTGAGAATTTTGTACAGTTCAAAAAAGAGTTTAGAAAAATTGAAAATCTTCAAACAGAATTTGAAAAAAAAATTCTTCTTATTCCACTTATTTATACGAGAAGTTCAAAAGTTGCCTTGGAGCCTATAAATTATTTATATCGTGTGTTTGTATTTTAATTTTCATATTTAACATTTTATAAACTATGTTTTATGTCTTTTGTACAGTTCTATTAATTTATCGGATTGATATATAAAACATAAAAAACAACAGTAGATGGAATAAACCGAATATTGAAGTGGTTCTACTATTGATAGTAATAAACTTATATTATTTTAATTTAATTGCATTCTCCACGCGTATCATATAAAAACGGAATATTCAATTAATTTAAAATAACAAAAAATATGCAGTATATATATATATATATATATATATATATATATATAAATTGCTTCTTCAATTTTATGGCCATGTTGCCAATGCAAATATCATCATGCACCAGTATTGTCAATGTTTAACGATGAAGATTACTATTCAGTGCATGCACTCTGCAAAATTCAAGAATTCCGCAATAAATGTTAATCTGTTTTCAATTAAATTACATTATAACCCCTTGAATAAATGTAAAACTTATTAATTTCCTGAAGTTTGTGTTCATCAAAAAATTCGGTTCGCTAATTTTATGTTTTCTCGACGTTTCAAGACATTCTGGATCGAAAAGAACCAAATTTGAAAAAAGTATGTGTGTGTTTTTTTTGAAATTGGTGTTCTTAGTTCATTTAAAAATCAGCTTGGTACCAAATGGTAAAAACAGTACATGCATAATATTTTTATACCTTCTTTCTGGCTGAATAAATGATTCTATATTTTTAAATCCATAGTAACTTAAATTATTGACATAAAAAATGTATCTATTTCTTGTACTACTTATTAATTTAAAAAATCCTTAATGTGAAAAAAACTCTTTAATGTGATAAAAGCTCTAAATGCGATGACTAATTCCTTGAACTTTTTGCTCATTGTTAATCAGTCTAGTGCATTTTAATCCTTAATAAATTTAATTAAGATTATCATCTATCTATCCAGTTTATATATATATATATATATATTAGGGTGGTCCTTAACATGGACATTTTCGAATTTCCTTGCTCCCAAGGGCTCAAGTGGTTCCAAATTTTTGATAAAAAACAATTCTCTGAAAGTTTTAGCTCTTATTATTGTCTCTCAAATAGAGCGCAATTCAATCCAAGTTTTGTATGGAAATAGCATGGAAAATTTTTCAAAAATTTTATAAATATTTTTATATGTAATTTAGCAAACAAATGAATAAATAAAACCCATTCATTTGTCGCTAAGTTATACCTAAAACATTTTTTTTAATTTTTAATTTTTTTCATTTCAAATTCATCTGCTATGATTTTCTATATTATCCTTTAACAAATGTGTATAAATGTAGGCGTCATTTAAAGATTGTTTACAGTAAATAAAAATGTTAAATTTTTGCTGTGTTTTTGCTCAAAATTAATTTAGCTAACATCTTATTTTGTACGGTTTTATAT